GTTTTTATGTCAAAATTACAAGTATTGCTTGAATCACAAGCTATAACACTTAAACCAAGGCGGTAAGGATGTATGATTCAAATCATACATATGTGTGATCCAAATCATGGAACATCATGAATAGGGGGATATGTCTCTGCCTCATTTGAGTCGAATCACAACTTCTTTGAGATGAATCATGAGGTGTACATGACTAAAATCATGGTCTCTTTGATTCAAGTTGATTATCTCTTTAACTCAAAGCATTACTTTGTGATTTAATGAAAAAGCCTTTTATCTTAGTTAGTTGAGAGAATCATTCCCAAGAGAGTGTGTCTAACATCTTGCACCATTATTTATTTTTCTCCTTTTTGTCAATGAGAGTGTGTGTGTTACCTTTGATAGAAAAACTCAGAAAAAGTGCGAGGAATCGCATCTCTAAAATCATTGATGTTCCTGTGTTTTTGTTGAATACCAAGAAACCCAAAGAAAATGAAGGAATTAATCAATCAAGTGAGAGAATTGATCATCTTAGAACAATCACCAAAGAACCTCGAAACCCATTTTTTTACCAAGAACCTTGAGAGAACTTAGAGTGTGTTCTTCATTCACCAACACATAATTCCTTGTTGATATCTTATGATTAACCTCATAGAATGTGGATCTTGTGAATTTTATTCATGTGTGTGAGATTCTTCAGATACTATTCACCATTTTAAATCTTTGTCAATAATCATTGTTGTAGACCTTCAACTCAAAAGATTGAGTAAGATAGGTAGATAAAAAATACATTAGGGAATATAATGTTCTTATTTAAAGTTATATTTTTATGTATCAGGTGGAAAAATCATTTCTTGAACACGGATTTTGGTTGTGTACTATTCACACTGAGAGAATAATGTCTCTATAATACATTTTGAAGACTTTGGTGAAACCATGTGAAGGTTGTCACAAAATAAAGTTTGGAGTTATCTAATTAGTCGAGGCTAATGAAATCGCTTAGACAAGTCTTCATCAAATTTGAGGGAAGAATGTTGTAGAAAGGAAGCTTGGAGAAATTTATTATGGATAACAAGATTATTTGATCAAGATCATTGAGGATCTTCTATGTAGCAGTTGAGTATCTGCACCAAAAGAAGGAATTGTCATTGGATTGATGTGTAGGCTAATACAATGGCTATTAGCATCAAGATTGATGATAGTTCGCTGTATCAAAATACTTGTATATTAACTCTTGAAAATAATGAAAGACTTTATTATTTTCCCGATGGTTTCAAACCATTTAAGAGTGCAGTAGGCATAGCTAGGCCGGTTGCCAAACCACTATATATCTATGTGTACTTCCTACCTTCCCCGTCTCTCTTTAATTTTCATTGTTCAGCATGTAGAAGTTAAATAATAGCAAAATTTGTATGTCATTCAGATTAGATCATGTTTTTAGTGATTTGTCGTATAAGCATATGCCTGTGTTGCATAAAACCTATTGAATCATGCTAAAGTTTATTGTGTTAAAAAACATGTATAAGTTGAGATATTAAATTTCTTATAATAAGAAACTTGAATTTTCCTAGTTGACTCAAGTAATTGTTTGATCATTTTCTTAGTCATAATATTGAAATATCATGGTTAGAATCCATATTAATGATATCATATGCTTTCATTTTATGTTGTTTTAGCTTTTGCTCATCAAACACTTATTTTGGTATTGAATGTATTCAAATTGTTTTTAAAAGGGGATCAGTATATTCATCCCTCTTCTAGCCTTTTTCATACTTATATTCCCAACCAATAAACCGAACTCTTAGTCCTTAGCTGAAAGATTACTTCATATCGATCAAAGTTTACACCACACTAATCTAAGGAATAACATTGTATAAGAAACAATTTCAAAAAGAAACCAAATCTCCTCTCAAGGATTGATAAATATTATAACAAAAACTTACAAAGGGGATCTAAAATTCTCCAAGCCACCGAAATCCTTACCCCTTATCTAGAAAGGGGAAGAGATGATCATACCCCTTCGAAAATTCGCTGCCCTCGAAAGAAGGAAGAACATGAAGAGCATGCTCCATGCATTGAGTGAGAAAAAAACCATATTAACTTATTGGTAAGTTTCACTCTACTGAATCAGAAACTCAAATCCACCATAACGATCATCATCACCTATTCGTTAATCAATTACGGTTCCAAGATTTTAAAGGGATTAAAAGACATCCTACAAATCAATTTTTTTTAGTGAATGGGATGGTTTAAGCCTAAAGTAAAAGAGAAAATTACAACAAAATTAACTTCGAAAATAAAAATCCTAATGCATTCAAGTGAGCTAAGTGCCTAATAATCTCCATAATATCTACTCCAAGACTCATCTTCTCAACTAATAACCCCATACTTTACCAACGCATCCGCATTATAGTACCTGATTTTAACATTCCAATGATAGTGATGAAATCCACATTTAATTCCACTTTAGAATATTTTATCCCCATGGTAAGCTTAAGGCCTTCATAGACTCTCCATAATTATGGCTTTATTATACTCCAAATACTAAGATACTTGGCAAAACCTCTTTTACACTTACCATATATGCCTCTGATTATACTAATGCATCCTAATGCTCTACCATCGATACAAACTCCTGATGCGTATGAGGAAAGAAGGTTAATTTCAAATTACTTGTTATTTACAACTTTCAAATATTAATTATAAACCCATTGAGATGCTAGGATTTTGACATATAACTGAATAAAATTATTCTTAAGATCTATATTAATTTGCTTTCTTTTATCTTTAATTTCCTCAAAAATGTTTTTCAAGCTTACATGATTTATAATTTTTTAATAAATTATGTGTCTTATTTATAAAAAAAAAATCTAAAAATACTATTCAAACTCATATTTCATATATTTAGACAACAACTAGGTAAAACATAAGTTGATAGCTCTCACTCTTCCCCATTTGGCATTATTCCCATCTATAAAACACCATGTACATTACTTGTGGAAAATGGCAAGTTAATTGCACAATTACAAAGCTAATAATTGGGTTAAGTACATGGTACTAGTATTTTTGCTAAGTTGTAAATAGAAACATGCCACGTGAAAAAACATGTGAGAGATGGTGGGGCTAGAGACAACCAAGCAAGTCCTAATATCATAATTTTAAGGTGGGTCCCATCAAGAACAAGAGGCCACAGCTGGCAATCTGTTCCTTTGTGTTCGGTGGAAACTCACTGTACTTACTTGAACCACACGATGTAACTCAAAAATATCAAAAGTGAATATTTGGTTATAGGTTTTAAATTGATTTTAATACCTAAATTTTTAATTAAAATTATTTCTTAAAAAAATATTATTAATTTGGAAATATCACCCATTTATTTTGGCCAAAATAAAAAGTACGAATCAGCTTCAATTACACTTCAACTACTCACTTTTTTCGCTTCTCTTTAGTACAAATTTTACATAAATGCTATAATAATTTCAATGCTTTTTTTTCTGCAACTGAAACCCTGCTAGCTAGCTACTCATTCAAGACACAAACCTGAAGCTTGTCGATTTCAATATTCTTTTTTCTTTTTTCCTTTTAATTTTTTTATTTTTATTTTTCATCCATTATTGCATAAGGGACCAGTCAAATCAAATATATAGTTCCTTTGTTACCTCTCAAAACTGTCGGTGCTACCATAATCTCTCACTTCTATCAAACCCTTTATTATTTTATACAATATCTTTTCCTTTCACTCCTTTTAAATAAATATATTAAATTAAATACTAAAGTTTATACACCACAACAAGTAAAGCCATTTCATTATTATACTTGGACAACACTAGATACAAATCTTTTTTTTTGTTAGAAAAAATATATAATTTGACACACCACCTACTATACTAACATATACATCAATTAATATTTTTATCTACGTTGACTAGCTTAGAGAAAGATTAATCAACTTCACCAAGAAGAAATTGATGTTTAAACAACATTCACTTGGCATGTTTAATGATATGAAATATTTTATTTTGTGTATATATTTATATAGCAGATGCAATGATGAAGGTGATAATGACTATAACTACCACTATTATTATTATTATTGATATAGTAATTGTTAGCCACATGTACGGGAGAATCCATCTTGCATTGAAAATGTGACAGCGAGACTTGTAAAAGTTGAAATTTAATCATAAAAAGAGCACCACAACATTATAGTTTTAAAGTAATTTTACTCTTTCAATTCACGTTTTCAGAAATGTGTCGTATGACTTGTGCAACATCAAATTGAAGTAGGGATTTCTACTCATGAGATTCAAGGTTTTACATTTTAGTTTCTTTTTTTAAAGCAAAAACATTACTAACTATTTGTGGTTTTTAAAAGCACTTTTCAATTAAACAAACAGTTTTTCTAAATTATTAGCCAATAAATAGCTGCAAAGCATTGCTGTCAACATCGCCATTTTTAACGTTTGAGGTGGTGTTAGATAATTGGAAAAAAAAGTCACGGAAAATGATCACAGAATACATAGATATTTTTAGCTACATAACATAACAACAGTATCTAATTCTAAGCCACTTGTTTGCCAACTACACTCGTAAAGTTACAACCGACACTGGAGCACATTAACTCAGGATTCAGGATTTTATATCAACCGAGTAAATTTGACAACAATTGATAGATCATAGAACACACATAAAGTGAATTGCCCAATACCCAATATTTCAATGGGGACAAAAACTTTTGTGTGATTTGATTCAAGATCAGTTTTGCATGATGCATTACAAACAGACCCCTACTGTTAGTATTATTTACTAACTTCCAAACAAAACGCACATGTACGTCAGTCAAACAAACCTCCCCAAGAATGTTACTTGTATCTAATATTATCTAATAACACCTGAGGTAACATGGTGTGTGACTACTCCAATTGGAATTCAACATGCTATCATCATCATATGGAGTATTTGTATTGCCGGATGTTTGGTACGTGTGGATACACCAGAGAAACTTGTTTGCATGTTGTTTTTTATGTCTTCCATACCCGAATAGTGCCATCTACCGATGAAGTTATCATGCAGTTTTCCTTTGGGTGATAACTTACACTTGTAACCTGACAGAAAACACATTGTATGAAGTTAATGATGCCATTGTCCTTAGACTAAAAACGTACAATAATAAAGTGCAGCTTACGGTATGCTAATTCATGCAATAACAAAATTCCTCCAGCAAACCAAAAATTGCATCAATAACAAAATTTGTCAATGTTTGAGTTGGTAGTGAATTTGACATAATTACTTTTTGTCAGCAAAAACTACATGCTGGAGCTTCGAGATAATTAACAAAATCAAGGTGTTAAGAAATGTGGTTGAGCTAGAGGTGCTAAGTAACGTGGTTGAGCCTAATTCAACCATACAAAACCAACTTGAACGGTGATAATTGTCTCCACTTATAAATACATGTTCAAGCCATTTATTACCCGATGTGAGACTCTTAACACACACCCTCAATCTTCGGACTAGACATCTGGAGTATGAGATTAAATAGTGGATGGCCCGATAACGGAGAACTAATAGCAAGTGGTCCACCAGATCTTAAACCAGACTTTGATACCATGTAAAGTAATGTGGTTGGACCTAACTCAACCATACAAAACCGGCTTATAGGGTGAGGAATGTCTCCACTTATAAGCACATGTTCAGGCCATATATTATTCAATGTGAGACTCTTAATACAAATTGTTATCATGATTTTGCCAAACTGTGTCACAACTGTTATCATTCTACTTAAACTATTAAGTGTTTCTGGTAAAGATTATTTTCAGACTCTGCTTCAAATTCAATATCAATCAATATAAAAATAGGGTGTAAAAGAAGAGGAGGCTTTCAAACACCATCCACTCTACTCCACCAGGAATCATATAAAATTTAAATGAACAAGTGTGATTTTATCACCTAGTCATTGATAAGAAGTCCTTAATTTCCCCCCATCAAGAGCGAATTGAAAACTTGTCAAAATCGTAATCATGTTCCATGTCAAGGCATCAGTTCAAGAAAACTCTATAATGTTCTTTCAGTATCATCCTTCCACATATTTCTTATATAAAGAATAGACTTGATATTTTTTTCTTACCACTGAGGCATGGGCCCTGAATTTTGACACAACAGATGCATCTACAAGATCCCAGAAATAGACGAAGCCATCCTCGGAGCCACCAGTTACATGAGCATCCGTATTAGTGAGGCAGCAATCCAATTTGTATGACTGATGATAAATCAAATATAAACGACCAACTTTCAGACAACGCACAGGTCAAAAAGTTTTGAATTGAACATAGTGAAGTTACTTAAAACAGAAGAAGAGCATGTTTCGGGAATTGGTAATTGCAGGGATCGGTAAACAGTATTCCACAAATACAGATATACTGATGAGTAATGACTGAATATAAACTTGCATCCAAATAGTTGAGACCATGCACCTGCTAGCTATCTTCCTTTATCAAGTACTTAATGCTATATATGTGGAACATTTGAATTGAAAATGCTATAACCAGATTTAGTCATTTCAGGCTAACCTTATTAGTGTGTCCTTTATATTCTTGTAATAGTTCACCTGTGGTTCTGTCACATGAAAGCACAGTGAATCTAAAAGAGATGTAGAGCCATAGTAAATGTTCTTCAAATGTTACAAACATACCTGTCCAAAAGACGCACAGTAGAGTCTAAGCCACCGGCTAGGATGCAGTTGCCATCATTTGACATCGATATACAGTTGACAGGTTGCCCTAAGCTATCAGATATTTCTCTAGTGAAAGAACATAAAAGCTTAGTAAAATTGCACAATGCAACTAAAATGTATGGCAACAATAGAAGTGTCTAATTTGAAACATCGCTTAACTTGTATTACTATTTTTTTTTTTACGCATAAACTCGTGAATTATGAAATATACAGGTCATGAAGTTTTTTATATATAATGTAACAAACCTGCCAATACGAATATCAAATGTTCGAACAGTTCCATCAACACTTCCTCCGATAATTTCAGTTTTTGTTAAACAAACAGACATCACACTGTCTGCAAATGTGTCAATAACCTGCACATCATTTGTGATTCCTGATTAATAAGTCAGCAGTAAGAAATTGGGTGCATGGCATGTAATAAATGAGTTAATAAGTGAGGATAGGGGAATCAGTCAACAGTAAGAAATTGGGTGCATGGCATGTAATAAATGAGTTAATAAGTGAGGATAGGGGAATCAGTTGATGAAATCCACCTGTATTGGCTCAGTGCTGTGGGATCTGCAGTCCCAAGCGCGCAATGATTGATCATAGCCTGCTGAGACTACAACAGATGAATATTCGTTGAACTTTACACCATTTACCTGCAGAGTAAATTACCTATCAGAAACTATAAGTTTATTGCCTGCTCTGTATTTAAGGTCGGGCCAACATATATCAAAGATTCACAATAATAACAATCATCGAGAGCTCAAGACCAAAGTCATAAAAAAGGGCCTGCAACCCCGATCATTAAAAAGGGTCTGCGACCCCAATTTGGTTGTATTGTCAAGGATTTTGATGTCTCCAAGACTGTTTCATGACTGCAGTTGTGGTTACATTAGTTAGTCATATTGAACTGCATTTCTTTTTGCAATATCAAAAACTTCAACAAAATAGAATCACAACCAGCATTTCAAACTCTGCTCAGGACAACATAAACTCTCAAGCATCAAAATTTTAATTTTCATCATTGCATACAAAACTACGAAATAAAAATAGACTCCAGTGCATGAGAAAACAAAAATAAAAGGAGGGGTCCCTTTTATTTGTTTTGAATGTGCACATTGGCATAGGATTAAAATGGATGCATATATGATGAAACCAGTGACATATGTTAAAAATAAAAAGGCAATAAGCCAAAAGAAGTAGTAGAAATAGTGACGATGAAAACACATTAATATCAGCATGTTTGGTTTGGCTTTTGGAAGAGCCAAAAGCAATTCTAGAGGTGTATGGTTCTTCTAAAGTAGAATTGATTTTGCCTCCAAAATTAATTATACTTGAAGCTAGAATCAATTCTGCCTCCAATATCGAGTTTGTAGCTTCTGAATTTAAACTTGATTTTATACTAAAATTTGTTATTCAACTCACTTTTACATAAATGTATCCAAACATAAATCACTTCTGCAAAACGCAATTCTGTTAAAATCAATTCTACCAAACTCAATTCTATCCACCGCCAATCCAAACACACACACAATCCCTCACTCTCATGGTTTCCTTCGTTCAAAGAGAAAGCAAGAAAAAAGGAGAGAAGTGAAAAAGTTGTTTAGCAATTAGCATAGTAAGAAATAAAGATTAGAAAGTACCTCACCATCATGGCCACGAAACTTTCTTATTACACGGCCAGTAGCAACATCCCAATAGAAAACTTGCCTATCTCCACCACAGGAACATAACTTGGAGTTGTCCCTAATAGAAAAAACAACAAGAAATGCAGTTTACATAACAAACAACCATCCACAATTGAAATCAAAATACAAAACCTCACAATACAACAAGCATTTGATTATATTGACTTATAGACTTATGTAAGCTTATATACTAATGCAGACACTCTCCGATTGTAGCTTATATAAAATAGCTTATACATAAGCACTTATATGCAAAAATACTTATAGCACTTATATACAAAACACTTATAGCACTTATATGCAAAACACTTATAGCATTAGCCACTATGCAAAACATTCTGACTTAATTTTATCTCTGTTTAAAAAATAGCATATACATAATCACTTATATGCAAAACACTTATAGCTTAAACCATAAGCTTAACTAAGTTGTTTATTTATCCAAACAGGTACTAGAGCATGACTGATTTTCTACTAAGTTCCCAAAAGTATAATCAAGAATAATATCATAATTATGTAACAATCAAGTGAAATTCCGATAAATTTTAGAATATACACATTTACGACGAATGGAAAGGTAGAGGTGAGAGAAAGATTATATATATACGAAGTAACGTGGACATCGCGGACTTCACGGCCATGCGATTTATAGGTTTTGATATGGATGCCACGGTGAGGATTCCAGAGGCGTATGGTACGGTCTTTGCCGCAACTGAGGATATAGTTACCGTCGGAGTTGAACCTGGCGGCGAGCACGCCACCTTCGTGACCCTTAAGCACGTTCGCCTCCTTCAGCGGAAGATCTTCCACGCTCATCGTTTCTTGCTACGTATTCACTGCCGGGAAGGAGGGAGACCTAGGCAGAAAATTTTCTGTGTGAAGATGGGCCGGATTTGTCGAATTGGGCCACATTCGTGTTAGCCCTTCCCAGCTCGGAATCTAAAGAATTTCTTAATCGACCCTATAGATTATTTAGACACCACAATGCTCACATATTTTAGAAATGTATATTCGGACGCATTTAATTCTCAGTTAACGTTAAAATATTTCAGAGATATATTTTTAAACTTTTTTCGGAGATGCATCTCTATAACGTTTTGTAGTTTAAATTGCGTCAAAACCCTTCTCCTTCTTCATTTTTGAAATTTTTTAAAATCTCTTCAAACTCTATCAATTTTTTTCTCATCACCAAGTGAAAAATCAAACAATAAGGCTCAAAAGATGTTCAATTAACATCAGAAACATCATCCAACACTTAAGCAAATTGAAAAATTATAAATTTTTTAATGTTTTGAATTTTTTTTGAGTTTTTGTGTAAATGAATAGAAATTGTAAGTTTTTTGATGTTTTGAAAAGTTTGAGTTTTTGTGTAAATGAATATAAGTTAAGGATTTGACTTTAAAAAATGAGTAGATATTATATGATTGATAATTTAGAAATAATGTAAAACATGTTTATTGGCTGAAAAAGATTATCAAATAAATATTTTTTGTTTCCATGTTTATATTGCCACCATTGATGCCCTTCTGAGTTGCAGAAAACTACAGAGACGCATCTCCGAAATTTTTGAACGTTTGGATTTTATAGTAACCGGAGATGCATCTCTGAAATTTTTTCAGTCTTTTTTATTTTATTTTATTACTTGTGGTGTTGCTTGCTTGCACTAATTGTCTGGTTTAATTTAACTTGCAGGCATTATGACTGATAAACACGATAGACTGAGGCATGGGAGAATTGCACATCATGCATTAGTGCGGCGAAAGAAGAGTCAGGTTTCGAAGGCTTCTGTTTCCTCTGGCCATGCATAGCCATCTACTTTTTGGGCTCATACTTTTACATTTTTTTCTTCTCGTAGGAGACGGGTTTCACCTACCGACGCATCATTCTCACCATCCTTCCGCAAGCGCAGGTTTCACCTATTCAAGTATTGAGATCGTTAGAGCACAATAGGCTACAGGGGATGACAAGCAGATGGAGCTCCATAGAGCGTATGTTATGAGAGCATACATGTTATATTTGGTTGACACACGATTTTTATGGACAAAAATGACACTTATACATATGTCGTCTACCTACGGTACTTCGAGGACTTCGTTGTTTGGTCTACTTGTACTCGAAGCTATCAGAGGGATGTAGGTGGAATACTAAGTAGGTCACCGACAACATCACACTACTGATGGTAGTATTTATTTGTCTTTTAATGTTTATGTGTCATTTTCATTTTATCTTTGGAACGTCATTACCGATTGATTCGTATGTTCCAAAATTTAAAGGATTTGATCCTCCAGCACTTCTCGCGCATCTCCGGCTGGGCAGGTGTACTGACTTATAGTGAGAATATGTCGTGTGCTACTGCATTTTCCCCCTTTAGAGGGAACCAGACGACAAAGTTGTTCAAAATGTACCGCGACCGCTTGGTTGCTAAGGACATACACTTGAACAACTATGTGGATCACCGTGAGACGCGGCCATTTTATGAGATAGTGTTATACTCAGGATGGTTAACCTACGGATCACGTCTCACTGATCCTCATATGCCCAAGCGCGTTATGCGGTTGTTCAATTACACTCAGACCATTCCTAAAAATCCAGTGGTATATGTTCATCCTACTTTTGAAGGTGAGAAAAATACACAAAAATGGGGAAGTTTAATTCTATATATAAAAAATGCTTCGCTTCTGAAAAGTAGCTTCAAAGTTTAAACAAAGTTCAGAATATGATATCAGAGTTTATAATAGTAATGAAAAGAATATGAATCAGAAGCAATACACAAAGCAACAAACAAAATTTATCTAGGTTCCTTTTCTCAACTGAGAGTAGTCTAGTCATCTTGCCTCAACAAGAGTTTTTCATTATAATCAAATTGATTACAACTTTGCTCAATCAAACTAGAAAGAGACTTCACAACTCAATCAATCCAGAAAGAGACTTCATGTCGTACCTCGAAAAATGAGAACGACCTCACAAAGCGCAATCGCATGCTTGCAGAATGGACTTAACAGAGTCGCCATCGATCTTAATTTATTTCCATAGAGGGAATGAGAAAATATCAAATAAAATCCCTAAAAGAAAGGACAAACATATGGTCATCGTAACCAATATCTGGGTTTGGGAGTCGGTTATCCAAAGGGAAGGTATTAACACCCCTCACGCTCGTTGTACTCAACGAGAACTATTTAGTTAGGGTCGAAGCTTATTTTAGTTTCTAAATCTTGTATTTGAATGGGAAAAGGGAGAAAAGTGATGTTTTTTTTATATTTTTTTATTAAAGGTAAAGGAACCTAAAAAGGTTTTTATTATTAGGGTGTTTGTCAAGACTTTGCAGTCAAGTGTCTACGTATCCTTACAAGGAAGAAATCAGAGCAATCGTAGTTCGGATACGAGTTTGAATATGGTTTGGATATATTTTAAGAATGATGAACAGTTGATGATAATCAATTTTTCAAAGAGTTATGTTAGAATGTTAAACTCTAAGAACCTTTTTCATTCAAGATTGATTGAGAAAATTGTTTGTGACCATGAACATTGATAGTGATTAATAGTTCAAAGAGTCACATTAGAGTGCTAGACTTTAACACCTCTTGGTCTAAGTTATTCATTAAGTGTTTTAAGGATGAAAAAAAGGAAATAATTGGTTATCTCAATGTGCAAGACTTGAGACCAATTTTTCAAGGGTTTTGCTAGAATGCTAGATTTCAAACAACCCTTTTCTTTCAAGTTTATTTCGAAAGAGTATTGATGTACTTTGAAGTATTTTAGTAATCTTTTATGGAAGGATGAAAGTTTTGAGAAGGCACTTGACAAAGGGCCAAAATTTTGTTTAGGAAAGGTTCAAGTTTGAAGAATAGAGTTTGAGATTGGTTATTAGAATTTGAGATAGAATTGGAGTTTGATGAGTGATGGTTTGAGAAAGGGTTATGACTTCATGAGAATTAGGACTTGGTGAGAAAATTATGACTTGATGGAAAAATTGGTGAGAAAATTATGGTTTAAGAAGTAAGGATTAGAGTTTGATGAAAGGATTAGGGTCTTGATGAAGACTAGGGTTTAGAAGAAATATGAACCAATCAAAGGGCATTTACACTTAATTATATGATTAAGCAAAGTACATTAACAAATTAATCAAAGATATTAAGAAAATAAAATCAAACGATAAAGAAATAAAATCTTAATAAATAAATAATACATCAAAAATATTTTAGATGAAAATAAAAAAAGAAAAAAAGAAAATATTTTTGGTTTTCAAGGTTTTAATAATAATATAATTAACTAATAACATATTTTTTATTTTTAAAATTAATTATAAAAATAAAATGAATAAATAATCAAAGAAATAAAATAATTTCTAACAAAGTACATTAACAAATTAATCAAAGTATTAAGAAAATAAAATCAAACGATAAAGAAATAAAATCTTAATAAATAAATAATACATCAAAAATATTTTAGATGAAAATAAAAAAAGAAGAAAAGAAATAAATAATACATCAAAAATATTTTAGATGAAAATAAAAAAAGAAGAAAAGAAAATATTTTTGGTTTTCAAGGTTTTAATAATAGGGGGAAAATGCTAGAAAGAGGGATTAGACCCATGCCCTCTCTCTCTCAAATAACACACTAGGACCAAACACTCAGCCACCAAGCCACATGGAACGCGTCTAATATGGAATTGCACCCATAAAATAATATATTAAAAAAATTAAAAAATAAAAAGAAAGGCAAGAACTTCATCTTCTTCGTTGAAATTTACTGTAACTAATTTTTTTTAAAAAATGTAACTTTTTTATTTATGCACAAAATCAGACATGTAAATATAGCATTTTGATCAGGATTTTACAAGAAACTCAAAAAAGCAATTAGATTTTATTTATATTAAGCGTAGCTCACGAATTTCATGCAAAACCATATGAACCGTAAGTTTTCAAAGTGAAATTAAATTGCATACATGATCAACCAATGCCCATTTTTATGGGGCTTTCACTCAACATGTTAAAGTTAGCAAAATGGTATCAAGAAACATTTAAAATGATGCCTATAACATTGAGTTCTAGAAATGAAAGTTTACCTCAAAATGAAGAAATCGTTTTTTGCCTTAGAGCACTCCCAGTTGCAAAATGATGATCCCTACAACTTTTATGAACCTCCAACAATGTTTTGAAATGCTCACTTTATTGGGAACCCTCTGAAACTCTCTATTAAAATCAACTTGCAAGTGGAGAAAAGTGAGAAGTGAATATGGTGTTTGGGTTGTTACAGAAGTGTTCTAATGATTGGAGCACTTATATGATGTTTATGGAAGGTGTTTGTGAAGTTGGAATGGATGTTTGTTGAGAGAAAAGTGAATTCACAAGTTTTTCTTTTTTGGACAACTTAAAAATTTAAGAAAATTGAACAATGGTGATTCTGGTACCTTGAGGTTTTTTGTGTAACACCCCCTTTCTATACCCCCAATAAATCAAATAAACCATTTAGGCACATACTAAAAATCCATCAGAGTATAATTAAAACACGGTATAAAAGAGGTGCGCCACGCCATACCTGAATTTAAAACATACAACACCTGCTCATTAAAGATATGCAACAGTGGGGTAACTTTCAACAGAGGAACTTAGTCCTCATACCCACATCTCAATATTTAGAATAAAAGAGGAAACATCTAAATATTGATAATCATCAAACATATATATATATATATATATATATATATATATATATATATATATATATATATATATATATATATATATATATATATATATATATGTATATATATATATATATATATATATATATATATATATATATATATATATCAT